GTCCATTATGATAACAGCAGGAAAAAAGGGAGAACTCCTACAGAATAGGGGAGTTCAACTCCATTATATTCAGTCTTATTAACATGCATGGTTTTCCCAAATTATCCTCATACACATATGAAAATATCATAATAATTACCTGGACATCTTTTCCATGACTGCTTTTTCAAAGCTACAATTTATGCAGCAGCATTGTAATCATTCCCACTCTCAAAACCCTTCTGTTCACTAGTTTGTAAAATACAGCCATAATTGACTACCTTGGTGACTAATTTGCAAAAGCTATTACAATGCTCCTGGACTCCACTTTTCTTTTACTGATATGGATTTATTTGGAATCCAAATTATACAAAGTATCACTGCATAATTCCACTTTGTAGTTCTTGATGTCACTATTGACCATTTATTGTATCTGTAATGTATAAAGCACATAACACGCATAGGTCATTAATTTTTGTGGCTTTGGGTATATTCATTTCTGATTTGTCAAATAAAAGTCTTCATGAAGGCCTGCATCCTCTTCTAAAAGTTCAAAATAAAGTATTGATAATGTCATTACACCTGTTAAATGTATCTCATCCATTAGTGCATTACTGAGAGAGTTTGCACAGAGGTATTGTGTGTTTGTGTACATGTGTGTGTCCTCTCTGTCTGCCCGTAATTTGCCTCTATCCTTTCACTAATACAGATCTTTCAGTGGTAGCATAAACTGCTCTCCTCGCTTTCTCAACATATCCTTGTCCTTTCTCTACTATGGTCTGAATTTTCTCACCGATATTTCTCAGAAAATGTTGTTACTAGGGTTATCAATAATCTCCTGGATTTCAATAGGAAGCTGTCTTGAGCACAATATGACATTTAGTGTTATTTATGTCCATTCATCTTGATATTTTATTAGAGGGCCTCTTTCTGGTTTTCCTTTTGTGCCTCTGCTCATTCTCTCCTTTTCTGCTACATGCTAGAATTTCTCTAAGTTTTTGTCCTTGCTCTTCATTTTTTCTCGAGTGCTCTTATGCTACCAAGTGCTACTCAGAATGACTATTGCTGCTCTCACTGATGGATAACAGTTGTGTGCTGGCAGCATACAAAATAACAGGGCAAATGTTGCATTTTTAGAAAAAAATTAAAAAGTGACTACATTTTCAATACACGCCAATGGTGGAATATTCCCATATATGAGCCCCACCTACCCTAATCTGGGGGCCAATCTTCGATTACCAGGTTCTTTGCCATCCATAGAAATTGGACCAATTGACAATAATTTTGAGTGTCTGTTTTCCCACAAACTTAGCTAACATGAAAAGCCATGAAGTGCTTTCAACCTTGACAATCTAGTAGGTAAAAATATGGTCAGATATGTAGATAGATATAGATATAGATATAGATGCTCCAGTTAAGAGCCTGGGCCCAGCCAACCTTGGGTTTTGAGTTGTGAGACCCTAAACTGAGCCTGCCTTGTGTTCTGACCAACAGAACTGTGAAAAAAATGGGTGTAGTTTTATGCCACTGAGTTTGTGGTAATTTGTTATGGCAGCAATACAATACTAAAAGTTCCCCATGGAGAATAGGTATAACCACCGTTAGTACAGGTTCATAAAGGACAGAATAGAAAAGAGACAAGAAAAAGGTTCAGAAAGAACATACTAGAAAAGACAGAAAGAGATTATCCAACATACTTATAACTAATTTCCCTGAAGGAGGGGAAAAAGGTAAGTCAAAGGAACAGAGGAAATGTGTTAAGATCATAAATTAAAAGAAAAAAACTTTGTTGAAATAAAATATCTAAAGTTACATATCAAAAGGACCCAATCATGTACCCAGAAAAAAACTGAGAAACAATGGTAAGTGACAAAAAATATCTCAGTAAAGCTATTGCATGTTTTTTAAAAAACAGAATGTCCTCTGAACCTCCAGAAGAAAATGGCCAAGTTTTTACATAGGAAAGAAAACAGTAAATGCAACAGCAGAGCAAAATTTTCAAAAAGTTAAAGAAAAGAATAGAGTGTGAGGCAAGATTTTATAACTGGCAAGGTTTTAAAAACTCTCAGGAAATATTGTAGATATGAACCCTTCCTATAACTAGAGACTTTTACAATGAAAAGATATAGAAAGATTTAGAGAAATTTTGGTAGTGAACATACATATTTGAAGATCTAGTGCTAACATAAAGGCAGCATTAAGGTTCATGGAATAATGTACAAAAGTTTTTCCTGTGATGAAGTAGAGGTGGCACAACTAAAAAAGGCAAAGAGAAAGGAGAAACAAATATAGACTAACTTGATTCATTTACATATAGGTAGGAATTGAAATATTATTTAAAGCTGACATAAAAGTAAAAACCCAAATAAGAAAAAGAGAGAACTAGAAGTGATTATAGAAAGGTATCAGTATAAACTTAACTTATGGGAACAACAAAAGTGAACACAAAATATAACATTAAATAGCATGACAGAACTGTAAGATCTTTTCATATTAAGGATATTAGTTATTTTTTAAGTATAATGCATCTATTGTCTCCCAATTTATCATTTAATTTTATTTTGATTGCCTGCCATGGATATTTTTATTCATTTGTAATAATTATATCAGTGTTTCATTTTATAACTTCTAGATGTGTCTTTTAGAGAGACCTCTACTCTATAATTATATATATTTAATATTTAATATATATTTATAAATATAAAACATATCTCTTAATTTTATTTATATAAAACATAGATGTTTATATAAATATTATTTAATAAGTAAATGCATACAAATATGTGTAATATATTAGATATAAAGATATATTTGGTATGTATTTAATATATATTTATATAAATTCTCCAATATTTTCTTCTAGTACTTTTATAGTTTCATGATTGATCCATTTAGTTGGGGAGCTGGAGAGATTGAGGAAAAAAAGAGAAAAAACTTATGGACATGGGCAACAGTGTGGTGATTGCTGAGGGTGGGATTGGGAGGAGGTGGGGGAGGGTATAAAGGGGGAAAATGGTAATGGTGTTGTGGAATTATGTTACTGAAACCTGTATAATTTTGTTAACCAGTGTGCCCTAAATAAAGTCAAAAAGAAAAAAGAAAAGAAAAAGAATGGTAATAGACAAAAGCTTCTTCTTTCCTACAGGTTTTCTGTTAGCATCATCACTGAATGAAAACTTCACCTTTTTTCCACTGACATGTGATGCAAGTCTTATTGTATAACAAACTCCTGTATGTTTGGGGAATTATTTCTTAGATCTCAAACTGTTCAATTTATATCTCTTGAAATTTAGGTGCCAGTAACACACTGAAATGATACAATGTGTGGGAAGGCAAGTCTCCTGCCATTAATTATTATTTAAAACAACCTTTTCACTATTTTTGAATGTTTACATTTCCATATAAACTCTAGAACTACATTGACTGGTTCCAATAGGCCATATATTCATGGGTGATCAGCTTTGCTTTGAAATAAGTAATTTAAAGCATTACATTATTAGTTTTAATCTATAACCTTTACTATATTTTTCCATTACCATTTAGTCTCCCTATACCCCATCCTCCCTGCAATCACCACCCTGTTGTCCATGTCCATGAGTTCTTTATCTGTATTGCTCAATCCCTCCACCCCTGATCTCCCCCTCACTAGCTGTTATCTGTTCTCCATCTATGAGTCTTTACATTATTTTTAAAAAACCACAACATTTGCATATTATCCTAAGAGGATACCCGGTGGGGCAGCAGCCACCAAATTCCTATCAATGTTTCCAAGTACTCGTCTTCTTTAGGGGAATTTTCTTAGAAAAGTGGAATCAGGCTTTAGAGTAAAAGATTAGATTTCTATCCACTGCCTCAACTGCTTACTGTTTTATAACCTTGAGCCCATTACTTAAGTTGGTTGAATGTCAGTTTCTTCATTTGAAAAATGAAGTTAAAAAATGGCTGCCTTGTAAAATGCCCATTATGTAAATATTATGTAAATTGTATTTTCAATAACTATGAAATATGCCTGATGGTTGGTGGGAACTCTTTGGAAAATAATTTCAAATGGATGTTGACAACATCCTCATCTATAGTTCCATCTATATTTCTGTCCTAACTGCAGAATTGCCATGACTTGATCCCTTTGATGTGTCTGATAAATCTGTATTCATCTGCAACTGTCACATCCTTTGGGAACAGTTTTTCTTATTTCCTCTTGTTTAGCACTTTCTGTCCTTTATCATTCTGTCCAAAATTTATAAATTGTGATTATCTGTTACTTGTTTGCGTTCTCAAGGAAACACCTCCCCCTTGACGAGTCACTTGTCACTGGTTTTACTGTCTAAATTCCTATCATGTTACCCGCCCTCATAGTTCATTCTCAAACGAAGCTGTCGGTTGAACATACATAAATTTTTATGGGAAGGAGGAACGGTCATAGGATATATATATTTTGTACTTTTTCTATTCTTTGCTCTTTGTTTTACAAAAACGAAACAAAACGAAACGAAACAAAACAAAACAAAACAAAAAACGGGTGGGGAGGAGGGTAACACTGCACCAGTCCCTAGAAGTGATTTCTGTCATTATCTTCTGAAACTGCATGAACTACACATGAATGCTTGGCCCAACTGCCAATAGGAAGTGCAGACACCGAACCAGGAAGTGCAGACCAATCAACAGCCAGTCCCAGAGGGGGCGGAATGTACGCACACGCGGAAAGCTGCGTGACCTGAGTATTCCACGTGGCCTTCCGGCAGAGCTAGTAGCAACGGACGCAGGACCAGCCCGAACGGAGAGATCAGACCCTGCACAGATAAAGGTATTTTCAGAAACTCACAAGAATTTTGTGTAGCTTCCCGTTGGGGGGGGGGGGGGTGGTGCGGTTTCTTGGTGTCCTTATTGAAGTTAGATTGGTAGACGACTGTGCAGTTGTGGTGTTTTGCATAACTATAGATTGGTATTAAAACAAAGTATTCATCCCGTGCATTAGTGCCCTTATATTTTCTCTTCTCTTAGGGCTCCCATTTTATACCACAATGGAAAAAGCTTTAGAACAAGCTTTAGATCATGCGGAATATGTCATTGAAAGTGCGTGGCAGAGACCCCCTAAACGTAAACAGTCATCTAGTGGGGGGGAATCTCTCCATGAAAAACTGTATGACCTATATGTTGAAGAATGTGGAAAAGAGCCCGAGATTACGGAGGAATTAATAAGCAATGTGAACTTGTTAGAAAAGCTTGTTCAGAGGGAGCCCCTGCCCTGTTTGGTGGTCAACCTGTACCCAGGAAAGCAGGGCTATTCGCTGGTGCTCAAGGGGCCAAGTGAACCATATTCAGAGAGCATTCGACTGCCTTATGAAGAAAGGGCATTTCTAGAATACCTGGATGCAGAGGAATTGCCTCCTGTATTAATGGATCTCCTGGAAAAGTCTGAACTGAACATGTTTCACAGTGGGTGTGTCATAGCAGAAGTACGGGACTATAGGCAGGGCGGTAATGCAGAGCCCCCTGGCTACCAAAGCAGGCACATCCTCCTACGCCCAACGATGCAGACATTAGCCTGCGATGTAGAGTCCATAGCCAGTGATAACCAGGAATGGACCCAGGAAGACAAACTGTTACTTGAGAGCCAGCTGATCTTAGCTACAGCTGAGCCCCTGTGCCTTGACCCTTCTGTATCAGTAGCCTGCACTGCAAACAGGCTGCTCTATAACAGGCAAAAGATGAACACTCCCGCCATGAACAGGAACTTCAAGAGGAACTTCAGAGCCTCCCTGAATGAGCCGCAGGAGCCGTCTTGTAGTCCGGACCCTCATAAAAAAAGCAAGGCAAGTCCAGCTGCTGAGCAAAATGTCCTCAAAGTTTCCAAAGCAGGAAAATGTGTGGATATGTGGAAACAGAGACCCTGTGACTTGGCAGTCCCTTCTGAGGTGGATGTAGAGAAATATGCTAGAGAGGTGAGGTCTGTCAAATACGATGACTCACCACGAATAGACTGGCCAGCCTATGGGGTAAATGATGATATTGCTCTATTTGGATGTGAAGCTGGTGATCAGTCCCAGACAACAGAGCTGACCTTCATGCAGTCCCTGGGTGATCCACTTATCTCTGGACAAACTTTGCCTAAAAAAGCCAGGTGTGAGAGACCGATGTCTCCCTGCCATTTCTTTGAAGACAACCATTGCTATAGTTTGATGCATGAGTCTGTCATTGACACTGGGGAAGAAGTACAGAATCTGTTTGAGGAACTGGAGCCGCTAAGTGTCGAATGTGCCTTCAAGGTGTCCGCAGGCTCCAGTGGCTCAGGCTCTCTCAGTCAGCTTTCTCCGGAGAAAGAAGCAGCACAGCCTTTAGACATCTCAGTTCAGTCTTCAGTACCTGGGGAGGGAGTCCAGCACACCCCTCCACCCATCAGTCTTCTCTCCAGCTCAGGAAAGAGTTCTTCAGGTAGTGACAGTTTGAGTCCCCAGCAGGAAAGCAATGTTCATAAATCAATATCTCCTGCCCCTGCTCCAAAGCCACCAAGTCTTCCCCAGAAATCCTCTGTGGAAGTGAACCGTGTTAGCATATTTCCTACAGCCACCCTGTTCACTGCCAGCCCAGCACAAATAACCCCAGCCAGCCAGGTCAAGGCCACCTATGCTGGCCCCAGTTTTATCAAGGTGGTAGTCCCTGTTCATGTGGCCCAGACTGTGGTGAGAGGTTCCAGTTCCACAAAGGGCTCTACTGCTAGGGTCAGGACTCCTGTGCCAATCAAGCCCAAAATCCCATCCTCAGAAGACCAGCAGCTACCAAATGTACAGCCTGCTGTACCACAGGCTCCTTCACAAGGTATTCAACTTGTTTTTAAAAATGTTTCAGAAGCCAGGCCCATAACACTACTCCAGCTTCCACCAGGTACACTCATTTTGAACAGCCAGCAGCAGTCTCAGCAACAGCCACAGCAGAAGACACAACAGCAGCAGTCTTGTCAGCAGCCTCAGCAGCAGCCACGGGAGCCTTGGCAGGAGCCTTGGCCGCAGCCACAGCAGCTTCAGGAGCAGCCTCAGCAGCAGCCACGGGAACCTCGGCAGGAGCCTCAGCAGCAGCCTCATCAGCAGCCACAGCAGCCTCAGCAGCAGCCACAGCAGCTTCAGCAGCAGCCACAGCAGCCGTGGCAGCCTCAGTGGCAGCCTCTGCAGCAGCCAGGGCAGCAGCCATGGCAGCAGGTACAGCAGCAGCCTCAGCAGTGGCCTCAGCAGCAGCCTCAGCAGGTGCCACGGCAGCAGCCTCGCCTGCAGCCACGGCAGCCTCAGCAGCAGCCTCAACAGCCTCAACAGCCTCAGCAGCCTCAGCAGCAGCCTCAACAGCCTCAGCAGCCTCAGCAGCTTCAGCAGCAGCCTCAGCAGCAGCCATGGCAGCAGCCGCAGCAGTTCTATCAGTTGATTCCACAACTTCAACAACCTATATATCATATTCAACAGTCAGTGTCACAGCGTTCAAGTGTGCAACGTCCAACCCATCGAAGAATGATCTTACCTGCTCAGAAAACTGCCATCGCTAACCCCAAAAGACTTAGAAGTAATCTGCAGCCCCAGGAAGTGATGGGGTCTCAGCCAAGCTCTACCCAGACAGGACCTGGGCAAAGCCATTCCCAACAAAGTGTCCAGCTCCCCTCTGCCTTCCAGCAGCAGCCACAGCCCCAGCAGGCACAGTTGAGAATCTTACAGCTCCCTGTGCCTGTGCCAACTGTAGCAACCCAAAGAGCTCAGCCACATCATGGCCAGAAGGCAGCAAGCCAGTCAAAAGGTAAAATGAATTGAGGTCTACCCAACACTCCTAAATCATGAGTCTTAAATCGTAGGAGCACTGAATCAAAGGAGTTTCTTAATTTTTACTTCATTTTTGTCTTTAATGTCTCAATATTTTATATTGCTAGATGTGTAAACTATACAGAAGCACAACCCTATGCTTTTAAAATAAAAACAGGGAAATAATTTAATGGGAAATATAGGGAATAGTCTATGAATGAAATGAAAATCCCAGTTCTGCAATTTACTAACCTTAAGCCTATTTTGTAATGTTTCTGTATTTCTTTGTCTGTAAAATGTAAACAGAAATATGTACTTCTTAAGTTTATTATCAAAGTTAATATAATAAGGTATATTAAAGGTTCAAATTTAAATTATATTTAATTTCAATTATTGAACTATTAAATATTTGAAAGAAACCATATTTAAACTGAAAATAAATTATAGTAATAATATTAGTGCTAATAATAGTTGTTACATTACATAAAATTCAACCCAATTCTTAAAAAAATACTAGACCTAAAAATAATAAGTGAGGAAATTATTTATATATAGATATACAGATATATAGATTAGGTTTAGATAGATATAGATATATAGACAGATTTTAATCCTCTATTTACAAAAAGTAGCCCTTTTATTCTATCTATTTGTCCCCCCCCCACATGGCAAATTTTCTATCTAATAAAACTGGATGTATCAGGCACTTGTAATTCATTCTTCAGTAATTGAGGGGTGATTTGGATATATGGCTCAATATCATTTGCCAGACAATATTCTTCAAATGCATTATTCATGTGGTGCTTATTATTTTGCAAATACTTTATAATATACAAATGTACCTGCTGTCTTCCATTCATCTTACTCCTCTATTCTGTCTCAATTATTTTTGTCCCCATCAGACAGGATAATAATCACAAGACAGAAAAGGTAAAAGTTTCTTGATTTATAATGGACCAATGAGTAAAAAATGATAGGCTTAGATGAACTGATGAAACACATTACAACAGGGAACTATAGGGAAAAGTGTGAATAATTGGGATATGAAAATATTTTTAAATATATCTGTTAATTAAAAATGATTTTTGTAGCTTCTAAACAATATATTTTAGGATGATATTGTAAGGTAAGAAACTAAATGGCCATACTGAACCTCTCTCCCCCTGAAAAATTTAAGTAAATTCAAACATAGATTATATTTTTAAAATATTTTATATGCAACTATAAAGATTTATATCTCTTAAAAATGTCATCTTCCTGATTTTCTGGAATTGGAGATTGCTTGAAAAGAATGAGATACTGAAAACATTTTAAACATGTATTTTATTGAACAGTTATTTTGTTGACTTTATTTGATTGTAATGATATTTGCTAGTTGAGGTACCCCTGTTGATGACTGGTAAACATCTTTCACTTAACATGTCAAAATATGATGATATTCATCATTTCCCCAGCACTTCAGAACATTTACTGTTTGGTGTTAGAATAATTCACAGAGTAATAGAATTAATTAGCAAGTAATTTTAAGTAATTTTTAAAAACATAAAATTTATCCGTACAACCTTACCATCCCTAACTACTTCTACTCTGACTTGTGGACTTTGAGGGATACTTAGAAAAATTCTCAGACTCCCTTTTTTATTGATTATTTTATTCTTAACGGTCTGTCCCATTCACACTTAGAATTAGAAAGCAAACACAGTGAAGTAAAATTCTAACTGAGTGAAATATCTTATATCAAAGATTCAAGTTTGACAATACTACTTCCGCATCCCTACAACACTCAGGATCTCATGAGCATTCATTCCTATTTAGCACACAAAACAGGCTAGAAATAGTGCCAGGCCTGCCAATCACTCATTTGAAAGTTTCAACTCTTTTTCTCCCTATTTTTATAGGTACCTCTCTCATTTTCTTAATTATAGTTCACATACAATAGTATATTAGTTCCAGGTGTACAGCATAATGATTGAAAATTTGTGTTCCTTATAATGCCATAACCACAATAAGTCTAATAACCATACGTTATTACAATAATATTGAGTATTTCCTCTATGCTGTGCTTTTACATCCCTGTGACTTTCTTTGTTGTAAGTGGAGGTTTGTACTTCTTATTCGTCTTCACTTTCGCACCATCCCCACATCCCCTTCCACTGGTAACCATCCCTTTGTTCTCTGTGTCTGAGTCTGTTTCTGTTTTGTTTTCTTTTCTTAACATCTGAACCACCACCCAATTTAAGGTAGTGAATAGCATACAAAAGTTGGAAGTAGAATGACTCCTGACACTTTATTGTACAATATTTTCATCTGTGACATTTGTGTGTCATCTGTGTCACCCTCCTTTGCTTCATCTCCTTCCCTGCATCTGCATACTCTGTGGAATCAAATTCAAACTATTTTGTTTGGCAAAAAGGTGTTTTTTGACCTGGATTTATTTCTTCTTTCACTCCTACAAATCTCCTAGCACTTCCTCATTCACATCTGTGGCTTTGGCAGCACTTAACTACTGTGGCCCCTGATGTGCCACGTTCCTCCAAAATTCCCTGTGTTGGTGGAGACCCTCAACTGGGAACTTCTTTCCATTCTCTGTTCATCACTTCATATCCACCGTCAGCACCACTACACTGGAGTCTGATTCTATTTTTGTATTTATGGCAGTGCATTTCATACTATTTCACAGGGTTATTTCTGAATCAAATGACAATAAATGTAAGGAAAAGTGTGAATTCAAAGTATGTATTAATATACATATACTTTTCAGAGTTTCCATTTATGTTTTCAAACATACACTGTATAACTTTGTAAGCATTTATAGGGATTAGTGCCTTTTCTGAAATGATTAAACTTTATATAATTACTTATTTATATTCTCTAATACTTTGTGTTGAATGTCACAATTGCCTTTTTTAAACATCAAAAGAGTACTAAATGGGAAGTATTATTATAAAAAATAAGATATATAAAATAATAGCACTTTTATCAGTATTTGACTATAATTTCTCTTTATGAAGATAACTAATTAAATAATTATTTTATTATCAGTTATTTTAATTAAGTAGTTAAATAATAGTTAACACTTCTAATAGTTAATTTTCTAAGAAACTTAAATACAGCTTTTTTGTCTTTGAGGCTTTTAACCAAGAAAATGTTCCTGAAATTATGATTCAGGTATAGGTCATTCTGATGGACTCTAACAGAAAAATCCTCACTTGTAAAACTCCAAGATCACACTGAAGAACAAGAAGATAAATCACTGAGATACTTCATTTTATTTCAAACCGCCAGATTTCTTATGCATTTGTATTTCTTAGAAGTTTTGAATCTAGGGCATACACTAAATCTATGCAAATAAATCAATGTTCTCTCGTCTCTGTTTATCTGTTATTGCGTCCTATGATAATAGTCTGATGGAGTAGCATTAGAATGGGGTGCTCTGCTTGGGATGACAGGACTCAAAAGCAGATGTGGTGGGAAAATGGGGAGTCGTTTTCTCAGCAGGGTTTCAGGTTTACGAGATGGAAAACGTCTAGTGAGTTATTGCACAACCACGTGAACATAGCTAACATTACTGAACTGTAGAGTTAAAAATGGTTAAGGAGGTACATTTTATGTTGTGGTTCTTATTACCACAATTAACATTTAAAGCAACAATAATGAAACAGATGTGGCATGCAAATATTTCATTTTCAGGGGTCTTGCTGGAACCTTAGTCACTTACGTGCTTACAGCAGGGTAGTTGGGAACACAACCCTCTGGAGCCAGGCTGTCTAGTTTCAGACCTGGCTCTGCCACTTACTAGTTGTCGACCATGGGTAAGTCACTTAACTTCTCTGTACCTCAAGTCTTTCATCTGCAAAATGGAGTTATTCAGTAGGACTGCTTTTACATAGTACTTACAAGGATAAAAGAAGGTCTTTTAAAGCTATTTAAACATTCCATAAAATAAAGTTTTCCAGAATAACTGAAATGAAGGGATTGTTCTCACCAAATGTAAAGGATCTGCTTTAGATGATCTAACAGTACAGGGCTATCTTGCAGACACAAAATCACTCTGGTGAGCAACAGGGACCGCTTGGAAGTGGTGCTGATTCTCCAAGGCAAAGAAATAAGATCTGCATTATTGTTGACTTTTAAAATGATGTGGCATCAGTTTTCCAATGCTCTGGACACAGTGCACAAATGGTAGTTTCTAATATACGCCCCAAATCAAACATCCCAAAAGGAGAGCCCCTGAATTGCAAATTAAGTTTCCTCACACATGTCCCACTCAACAAAGCCTACTTCAAAGTAGGTGGCTCTAGGACTTTAATGACTGATGATTCTTCCAAGCGGAGGGAGAAGGCCAGTGAGCACAGTGTTTGAGAGTAGAAGACAGCCTTTGGATATCCTTATAGCCACCAATCAAAACCAGCAGTACTCAATTACTCACTCCAAATGCTTAACAGTAGCTGTAACAGGGTTGCCACACCTTGCATTTATTCACTCACAAATACTTATTGAGTATCTGTTACAAGACACAATTTGTCAAAGCCCTAGAGACAGAGCAGTAAATGAGACATAATGTCTTTGAAAAGCTCAGTTCAGTACATTAAGAACAAATAAATTTTAACAAAGTAGAGAAAATTTTAGTGTGGCTTTCAACTCTAATTGTTATATATCAAGCACCATTTGTGCATTAACCTTTTCTTGTTTTTATTGTATTTAAAGACTCTGTGGCATTTGATAATAATTTTAAGAAACATTGCAATTGAGGATTTAAAATGGAAATAGCAACAGGCCTCCAGATGTAGTGTTGACATAGTATCACTTTTTTATCACTTGCCCTCATTTCAGCTTAATAAGCTCTCTTGCCTCTCATCTTTCAATGTTTAATCCAAAGCAATTAAAATAATATGCAAATGCCATTTGCATTGCTTTAAGAGTGACACTTAACACACAATTTCATTATAATAGGCAACTAGAATGTTTGTTGAATGATCAGCTCATTTTTATTTTAAAATATGTTCTTTTCT